AAGTTTGTCCATCAAGACCGGAACAACGATTGACGAATAACTCTCCTTGTCAACACCAAGGGCCTCAAGTCCACGGAAATGAGTCTCGATGTCATCCAAGAAATGACGTAATCTGCCAACATTTCGTTCATTGTACACTGGAGCTAAATTTATCATGTCGTTGATGTGCGCTCTCTTTATTAAAGTTGGCTTAGCAAATCTCTTCTTTAACAACTCCACTGCTGAATCATACTCAGCATCTGTTAATGCGAGACCCGATATCACTCTTCTGGCCGGCTCATCCAAGAAACTCCGCAGATATTTGAACTTATCAATTTTAGCAAGACCAGGGTCCTCATGTATAGCACTCTTAAAGGAATCCCAAAATTCTTGCCAGTCCTGTACTTTCCCACTAAAACTCCGCATTTGCAATTTAGGTAACTTCACTCTGACAGTACGATCGTTCCAACTCTTCGAATGCTGCAGTTCCGACTCATTCGAGTGGCCATCGTCATTTGATGCGATCGACACGATACTTTCCCTCGACGCTGAGTGAGATTTTGAACTTGAATTAATAGACAACTTTTCATCCTCCATTTCTTTCAATATGTCTTCGACACAAATCAATTGGTAATCGATCTTTTCCTGGATTTCGCTGGCCTGTTCTGCTTCGTTCTCGCAAATCTCATCCTCTGCATCTGTTGTGTACAGATAGTTTAAAACTTCTTTGTCCAATTCCTTCAAAAGTATCGACTTCTCTTTCAATGCAGCTCGAAACTGTCGTAATTTGCGATCGTCAACCCCGTCACTCGCTTCATCCAAACACTCTTTAACCTTGTTAACCAACTTCGTTGCTAAACTTCGTATCGTTCTTCGCTCTTTCTTTGCCGTATTCACTCTTTCTTCATCCATAATTATCAACAATCCGGATCCGGCTCGGTGGACCATTTTATGTTATGAAAACATTTAATCTATTGCTGGTTCTCCAGAATATTGAACACAAACATTTCATCAATCTTCAATTTCTCATCATATTAATCAATCTGTTTTAAGTTCTACCTCTACACTCTACACTCTACACTCCCAATTACAAAACATAACAATAAAAGGTATTAATGAGCTAAATATCAGTAATATGTGATTTTCACAATTGCTCTGCAGCCATTATATAAAATCTCAAGACAGAGTGACAAGCTTAACAGATTAGTCATTAGTGCTAAAAAATAACAACAAGAATATCACCTATTGTGATGCGTTCGTGGGAATATGGTGCTGCGCAGCGCAAAGTTCCCCAACACATATACCTTCGGAAATTCAATCATTGATCTCAAGCTTATATCTAGATTTTAAGACCTGTATCATAACTGATAAATTCCAAACCCCTGCAATTCCCGTTCGCCGCGGCGTATTGCAAGGTGACTGCCTTAGCCCCCTTCTTTTCAACCTTTGCTTCAACACGTTCATACAATACATCAAATCAGATAAATATAAGCAGCTTGGTTTCTCCCCCCATGATGGTAATGACCGCATGTTTCAGCCAGTACACTGGTTTCAGTTTGCTGATGATGCTGCTGTTGTTACCAGTGGAGAAAAGGAGAACCAACTCTTATTAAACTGCTTTACCAGATGGTGCCAATGGGCAAACTTCATTGTCAGGGTTGACAAATGCGTTACCTTTGGTGTCAAGAAACACTCTACGCGATCCCTCCAATTTCAACCGAAACTTTTCATCTGTAACATAATAGTGCCTGCTGTCAAAAATGGCGATTCCTTTAAGTATCTTGGTCGTTTCTTTGATTTTGAAATGAGTAACCAAGATCATAAATCTAAACTCATTTCTCTTTTCTCTACTCTTATGAAGGATATTGACGACTTACCTCTCCATCCTAAAAACAAACTGCTATTATACCATCGTTATATTCTGTCAAAAGTTTCATGGCATTTTACTGTTGCAGATCTACCAAAGACCTGGGTTGTCCAAAACCTAGACAATCTTGTTTCCAATTACATTCGCCAGTGGCTTGATCTTCCTGTTTCTGCAACATTGAGTGGAATAATCCTCTCAAAAAATCAGTTTGGCCTAAATCTACAACTGCCTTCTATCAAATTTACGCAATGCCAAACTGCCTGTCGCAATGCCCTAAAATCTTCTCCTAATATTGACATTCAAACCCTATGGAAAAACACCAGTCATGGCACGAACCTACAGTACGACATCTATCGTAATACTAAAGAGGTATTAAAGGCTGTCAAATCAGACAACAAAGAACGTCTCTCCCAAAACTTAACATCTCAGGGAGCCACAATTACCTTCCTACTGAAACATTCACTGGAAAAGCTGAACGGTATTTGGTCAAGTACACAGAGCAATTTGCCTAGTAACATCTTTAACTTTACCATCAAGTATCTTAAAGGAGAACTGACACGCAAAAATAACTTTGGCTTATTCGATGCAAAATTTGTTGCTGACTTCAAATCTGGAAAAAGTTTTCTTCTAAGATTCGTCCTTTTTCTGATATTTGCACTTTTATCCGTCAAATACGTCACAGCCAGGACTCGGGAATTTTCCGAAGCGGAAACAGGATTATCGCCAGGAGTTGTTAAAATTCTCGGTTGACGTCACAAGTGACATGTTAACAATGCCGTTGTAAAGGCTTTCACCGCAACGGTGAAGGTACAAATGAAGTTTCGTGTTTTATTAAAAATAATCCGCGTTGAAAAGGCAAAAAATTGTCAGGCATTTCATTTATAAGTATAAAGAAACTAAAAAATCCTAGCTACATGTCTGCTAGGACGCTAATATCCACATGAAATTTATTTTTATGCCATGATATCTTCGAACCAGCATGCTTTTAAACATTGAAAGAGCCTCTAAGCTTGTGAAAAAAAGGAGTCGACTTTGTTTGAAAACTGATGCCGTTTCTTCAAAGTTTTTATTTTTATAATTGCAAATAAAATCGCAAGATGAGGGGACGGGGGGAGGGGGGTTGAAGCAATAGCCAAAAGACAAACGAAATCTAGTGGAGACAGCGGTAAAAGCGATCCTGCAACCTGCTTTGGGTGCAGAAATATGAATTCAAGAAAAAACCTTGGTTGCTGGGAGCTGCGAGTGTGACTAAATAATAATTTCACTGAACTTGATTATTGTAACAGAGGTTGAGATACTAGGGAATAACCTGGTCTTGCAAAAAGACCATCCCCCACCCAAGTCAAAATTGCTTGCAAAAGAAGATAATGCGCCAGTTGATATTCCTATGACAGCTAAACAGCATTTTTTTCGACTAAGATAAGAAATAAAGTTCTTTGACTAAGAGCTAAGAGCCTATTCCGTAAATCCAGATTTTTCGACTGCCAGGTAACTTATCAGTTCCCGAAACCCTTCACGCCCGGTGAAAATGGCATATAATCCGCACAAGTCGACTTTTAACCCGCCTTTACTATTTAATATCACTATACAATTAACGCGTTTGAAACATTGAAAAACAATCATGGAATGTTATAATAACAATGAATAACTTGCAGTTCCGTTTAGGGCATCATAGGCATTTCAGCGAATTAGGCCTTACAGACAAAGCAGCCTGGACAAAGACCCCTCAATCTGAAATGAAATTCTAGTTTTAGGATACCTGATCTCATTTAGATTGTAGCAATAGCACTGTTTTTAATAGAAATTCTATATCAGTTTGTACTTCCATTCTGTTCTTTGTTCATAATATCGTCACTGTTGAGCCAGGGGACGACTGTCTGCCCAAGCGGCGGCGCTGGTTGGTAGCAAAAACTCAGACGGCTGAAACTCTCCATTTGTTTCGAAATCAGTGTAATAAAACTCGGATTCAGAGTCCCAAACCATTGAAAAAGTCAATTATGTGTCAAAAATGCAAAATTAGCTTCTTTCAAATGCACAAAATAAAGATTTGTCCGCAGAATTTTCTCAAAGGTTTCTATAGAGAAACACAATACGTGCTGAGAACATGTCACTTGTGACGTCAAAGATGATCGCTCACTCGGGACGATTTTCGCCTCGAGTCTCAAGTTGTCGGAATAATTGTCGTTTCTCAACTTAAAACGCCTGTATTTCAAAAACGGTAACTGTGATTTAAAAAATTTTTCGATCCCGGAATTTGCTTGTCACAAGCTACCGTTTTAGCCAAACTTATTTTTGCGTGTCAGTTCTCCTTTAACAACACTCTTCCAACTCGTAAAAATCTGCTGAAATGGAACCTTAGTCAAACATCTGACTGTGAATTCTGTCTTCTTCCAGAAACACTTCTACACGTTGTTGCTGGATGCAAAGTGTACCTTGACCAAGGACGCTATACTTGGCGTCATAATTCTGCATTAAACTTTCTAGCCACTTCCTTCCAAGCAATAAATGGGTCTTCTCTCTACGCAGATTTACCAGGCTTTCTTTCCCCTTCTATCATAACTGGAGATCAACTACGCCCTGACTTACTTCTCAAAACTAAGGAAAACTGTCTGTACGTTTTAGAGCTAACCATAGGCTTTGAAACAAATCTCAACTGCAATGCTGTCAGAAAGTCATGGAAATATGCCACCCTCGTATCTGACTTTAAACGTCAGTTTAAGTCAGTCTCGTTTGTCAATCTTTCCATCAGTTCACTTGGTATTTTTGGCAACTCCTGCAGCTCATTCATCGACATGTGTGACTCTTTGTCCATTGATCATCAACAGAAATGCTACCTCATCTCCAAACTTACAAGCATCTCCATTCGCACCACATACTATATATTCTGCTGTAGAAACAAAACTTGGACTAATCCAGAGCTACACCCCTTTTAACATTTTTTTTTTCTCATTACTACGATGTAATAGTTTTTATTTTGTAAACACAGGCT